CAGCCCTCGCACAGGGGGCTTGGGAACTGTCTCCTGAGCTGTGCGGGGGCTCGCCCCACGGCCTTGTCTGCCTCCCGCTTGGCCGCGGCAGGAGGCAAAGGCTCACGCGGCCTGTTCTTGTGTTTCAGATTAAGGTCCAGCAGGTGGCGCTGGAAATGCAGCTGACCCCCTTCCTCATCCTCCTCCGCAGGACTCTGGAGCAGCTCCAGGAGAAGGACACGGGCAACATCTTCAGCGAGCCGGTCCCTCTGTCTGAGGTAACAGAAATCTACGAAGTAAGAACCCCTCCCCCGCTTTCTCCTTCGCTCGAACCGGGCCGCCAGCGAGCGGGCAGCCGGGGCAGTTACCCAGCTGGGACCCGGCTGGCAGAGATCTTGGGGGTGGGCCGGGCCGGGCCTTGCTTGGGAAGGCAGGGTGTGGAGGGACCCTGCGCACGTGTCCTCCAATTTCCGTGGCTGCACCCTGACGTTGGCCTGGCACTTCTCCCTTGCGGGTGCAGCGCCAAGCTGGGGACGTAACCACCCGCCAGATAGTGAGCTGGTGACACGATTCCAACGTTAGCAGTTCACCGCTGGGGGGCTGGCGTCCTGCTGGGTCTGTGGGGCGGGGTCGCACCCACCAGCTGTGACGGGAGGGCCTGAGGGCTCGCCAGCACACCCGCCCTCCAGCCAACCCTCTGTAGCATGGGGCACAGATCACAGCTGGAGGATTCTCTGCATCTTGGGGTCTTCAAAGTATTTGAAGGCTTCAATATCTGAGCTATAGGTGAGAGGATTATTCTAGGAGGGGGTGGGTGAGATTCTGTGGCCTGCACTGTGCAGGGGGTCAGACTAGATGATCAGAATGGTCCCTTCTGACCTTGGAGTCTGAGTCTATGAGCTGCGGCTGCTCTGACTCGGTATGGCTGGCCATCCCCTGGGTTTCCACACGGTCCGGTTAACAGCTTCCTGGTAAGCAACCCCATAAGCCTAATGCTTACCTGGTATCCAGAGAACATTTTTACATCCCTGTCTTATGCTTATGAAAAGCACACGGGATTTTTTACAGGCGAAAAGGCAACCCGCTGCATTTATTGAGAATACAAAATGAAGAGAGAGCGAGTGTTCTCTCTCTGAGACCCAGACAGGCCCAGAGACGCTCGCTCACACGCAGACCAGACAGAGGCCCAGAGGCGCTCGCTCACACGCAGACCAGACAGAGGCCCAGAGGCGCTCGCTCACATGCAGACCACACAGAGGCCCAGACGCGCTCGCTTACACGCAGACCAGACACCCAGGCCTTGCAGACAGCACATATTTACCAGTCCGTTGGGGCTCACGTCAGTCTGAGTGGCCTGGCAAGGCTGCCTGAGTGAGGAGTTGGTTTCTTGTTGATCACGATTCAAGGCTTGGTTTGCAGGACTGAAGCCAGACTCTAATGTCATGAGGTCTCCACTTTATACACATCAGTTCCCAGGAGAGTCTGTGGGCTTTGCAGTGTCGTGCTGCCGTCCTCCGCCCTTGGGAGGTGCGAGTCTGCTCTCCAGAGTTCCCCTTTGCTGGGGAGTGTCAGGCTGCCCATCGGTGTGTCTCACTCTTGGGGGGTCTCTTCCTGTCTCCAGAGCTCTGTCAATGCTGCTGATTGCGTTCAGCCTCAGGCCAAGGGCTGTTCCCTGCTTATCTTCAAGGTTCCCACTTCTTGATCCCCTGGGCATCTGTCTGGCGGCCTGACTCCCACCCCTGCACTCGCACCGCTCACATGGGCAGAGCTTCAGACACGATTAGTAGTCACTAAAGGAACAGCAAGAAGGAAGGAACCTTCCAGCACTGCGTGTGTGTTACAGACGGGAGTACAACTTCCTTTGCAGTGCTAACAGGAAGCACGGCTCCCAGTAAAGTGTGTGTGATCCGGAGGGAGGGTGAGGTGGAAGCAGACAGAACTTAGAAGCAAGTCATTGGACATCACGTCCTTGCGGTCTTACAGCCAGCACTAGGAGACGTTTTGCTGCACCTAGGCTATCTGTGGCCGTTGCCCTTCTCGGCCTCGCCTTGGGTGGGGGGCACTCATTTGTAGTTGTGGAGCCCTGTGGCTTTGAAATTCCACCCATGTGGGGACTCCAGAGCCCAGCCTGTGCTCCTGCTTTCTGTCAGCTGGAGGAGAGGGCTGGGCTGGAGCTGGGCCGTGAGAGCCACCTCCAATCGCTTTGCTCCGTGTTGTGCAGGGCGGGCTGCCTGCCCGGTGTCTCCACAGAGCGGGCAGAGTGTACAGGGGATCTGTGCCTTTTGGGAACTGGATTCCTCTAACAGCTGTTTTCTTGAAGCAGGTAGTTCTGAAGTGTGACTTCAGTGTCAGCTTTGTCTGCTCTCCCCGCGCAGGTCCCGGACTACCTCGATCACATCAAGAAGCCAATGGATTTCTTCACCATGAAGCAGAACCTGGAGGCCTATCGCTACTTGAATTTTGATGACTTTGAAGAGGATTTCAACCTGATTGTCAGCAACTGCTTGAAATACAATGCCAAGGACACCATCTTCTACCGCGCAGCCGTGCGGCTGCGGGAGCTCTCCCCGCGCAGGTCCCGGACTACCTCGATCACATCAAGAAGCCAATGGATTTCTTCACCATGAAGCAGAACCTGGAGGCCTATCGCTACTTGAATTTTGATGACTTTGAAGAGGATTTCAACCTGATTGTCAGCAACTGCTTGAAATACAATGCCAAGGACACCATCTTCTACCGCGCAGCCGTGCGGCTGCGGGAGCAGAGCTGGAGAAGATGGGCATTGACTTTGAGACAGGCATGCACTTTCCACACTGCATCCCTGTGGACGAGGTGCTGCGCCGGGACACTGAGGAGGGTGGGTACCAGTGCCCTGTCCCAGGGTGCAACAGCTGCAGGAGTCACCTGTGGAGGTGACAGCCAGAAATCCCTGTGAGGTCACTGGGGGGCGGGCACGTAACCCCCCACAGTCTCTGCCATGTCCTCTGAAGCCGCCTTGCCAGGAGACTTGCTGGCTAGCCAGCCCACGCCCCTTTCCCTGGAGACAGGACCGTTCTCGGCTGGAAATTCAGCCCACCCCAGGCCAGTCCAGGTGCCGGTTGCTGGTTGGCAGCTGAGATCCGCTCGGCTGGCTGGAGACAGGCTCCCTGGCTAGCACCCTGCACCGAGAGAAGCTGGCTTTCTCCCCAGGATTTGGGGTGACTGGGCAGTGGCCCTTCGGTCTTGCCTGCAGTGACAGCTCCCTCCAGCAGGGCCATTCCCGCTCCCTGCAGCCTGAGGGGCTGGAGCTGAGCTGTGGGGTCTCCCTCCCATGCTCCAGGACACCCCACAATGCAAGCCCCTGTCTCGTTCTTACTGCTCCCAGCCCCCTTGGCAGGATGTGGATTATTCCCTAGGAGCTTTCAAGGCTGACCAAATTGGCTCTTCCCTTCCGGTCGAGCTCATCTCTTGGGCCCTGGGGATGTCTGTTCTGGGCCCCCTGGCTTGCCACGTCCCCTTTGCATCTCACCTGTCTGCCCCCTTGCCCCCCAGAGGAGGTGCGCTTGCTGCTCTCAGAGAACCAGAAGCACCTGCCCTTGGAGGAGCAGCTGAAGATCTTGCTGGAGCAGCTAGACGAGGTCGGTGCTGGGAAGCAGAGCATCGGGCGCTCCCGCCGTGCCAAGATGATCAAGAAGGAGATCACGGTGCTGCGCCGGAAGCTTGCTCACCCTCGGGACATGCTGGACAGGCACGGCCCCGCCGCCAGGGGCGCCCTGCAGTCCCACCGCACCTGCGAGAAGGACGTGCAGACTGACAGCGCTGCAGAGGAGAGCAGCAGCCAGGAAACTGGCAAAGGTAGCGGCTGTGGGTATTGGGTCTGGCCCAGCACGTGGCTCCCAGGTGTGGTGTAACCCTGGGCCCTTCCCTCTGTCCTTGCTGTGCCCACTGAAGAGCCGTGCTCCAGGCTGGGCAGCTAGGGCCTGAAAGGTGACGAGTGTCCCCCTCTCAGCTGGCCCCTGGGAGGGATTGGGAAGCAGCTGGAGAGGGTGTTTCCCCAGGATTCTGGGAGGGCAGGTGGCTCTGGGGCCCCCCCTTTGGAGCCAGGGGACC